GTGTGTGTGTGTGTGTGTGTGTGTGTGTGTGTGTGTGTGTGTGTGTGAGAGAGAGAGAGAGAGAGAGAGAGAGAGAGAGAGAGAGAGAGGAGAAGGTATGCCAGATTAATAATAGGATTTCTTTTGCAATTTGTTTTGCACCTTGTATGCAAAGGTTTGATCATTCCAGGCTATAATAAATCTTAACAGCATTCACAGAATGAAGCTCCTGTCGCTGTGGTGACAAATCAGAATGTCCAACACCAAAGCTCTCCAAGGAAGGGATGTGTTGTGTAGCAGTCACTGGACTGGAAAAGAAATTCACTTGCAAGTTGGGCCAAGGCTGGGGCAGCTGTGGTGCATTGTGCTTCCATGTGGCAAGCCTGGAGCTGGAAAGAATCCCCTCAGATTTTCCCCTTCCATAGTAAATGAGGAACTAGGTGAGCAATGATGCAAACAGCCCTTGAGAAAGCACCAGCTATGTCAGTGGCCATGTCTACATGAAACACTGACTTCTCAATAGCTTGATATTACTGCACAGTAGGTTGTGTGGCAAAAACTGTGATGCAATACTACTGCACAGTAGTATTAGGCCACTACACAGTAGCATCACAAAAAAGGCATTTGCTGGCACTACTCTGCAGTAACTCAAGTTACTGTGCATTTATTTGTCAGGTACCCAGGTTGTAGCTGTATTGGTCTAGAGGCAAAAGAAATCAAAACTCATGGAAGAGATGATATCTTTTGTTAGACCAACTAGATATTTGCAAACAAATTATTGAATTTATCTGCAGGCTTTTGGACACTTTTGTCCTAGTTAATGCCTCTTCCTGCAGACATAACTAAAATTCCTAGTTATGCCTCTTCCTGCAGTGTCCAAAAAGCAGTGTGACACAGTAATTCCCCCTGGAAATGCAGGTGTGTCCCCATGAGTGTGCACATGCAGTTTGTGGCACCTCAGAGCTGTTTGAGGTGCTGCAAACCACACGTGGTGCAGGTACACCCATGCATCAGGCTGCTAATTTGCAGCACAGTGGTTTTTTTGACACCAGGAGATCTCACTATCAAAAAAACCCCTGCTGCTAAAAAAAGCAGTCCAGTGCACATGGTAACAGTACATGAGCTGGAGACTGGGGCCTGGCCGGCCAGAGCCACACTTTGGCTGCTGCCCGGATCAGCGCTGCTGCTGCCCTGGGAGGCCCCCACAATCCCAGGTAAGGCTGCTGGAGCCTCCCCTGCCCCATCTAGGTCCCTTTGCCATGCGCCATGCACCTGACTGTGACTGCAGGGGTGTGCCTAAGGACAAATAGCAGCGGCACAAATATGTGCCACTGCTATTTGTCCCATAGGAAACGTGCACCCCTGCACATGCAAGCTCATGGGGACACACCCAGCGTGTCTAGGAACTATAGTATCCCAAGAGTGGGTCTGGATGGGGCCAGCAGGAACTTCCTGCTGTGGCAAAACAAACACAGGCTAACCACCAGACCTTGCAAGTGCAGCAGTACAAGTATGACTTCTCTAGTGTAGTAGTACCACTGTCACTTCTCCAGTTTTTTCTATAAGATCCTATACATAACGGAGTTGGCTGCACACCACAAGCCCCAGTAGCTCAGAGGGGAAACAGTGTAGTATGCACTACATTTTGCATTTGGTAAACTTCACTAAAAAGGGGATGACACCCCCCTCCCCGGCTCCCTATTTGTCCCAACACTTCAGGGAGGGTGGCACCTGTAATACAAGAGTAGTGTGAAGAGTTCAGTTGCAGCCCAAGGAATACAAACTGGAGACTAACTTGCGCCTGTCCCATCTCCTTGCACACCTGTTCAGCTGCCAAACTCACAATACCGGTTGGTCTTCAAGACAGAGATCGGGTGAGGAGGTGGCAAAGGAATAAGCCCTCCTTCCTTTGGTACCAGAGCTCTGGTGCTGGAATATTATAAGCTGCTGGATAAACTCAGGAAATGCCTGAGACCAACAGTGAGCATTTTTTGTTTCCCTAACATCACATTGTCCAATCACCTCTACCACTGAAAAGGTTGAAGCCTAGTATTTAACTTTAATGGGAGTCATGCAGCTAAAACACCATGCAGTGCTTTGAAACTAACCTCTAAATGACATCTTCAGGCACTGGAGAAAGGAAAACATTGTGCTGTGTGTCAGGAGGATCTTTCCTTCTCTCTGTCCAAAAATACTTTTCCTTTATGTCTCTCCATTAACCATAGGGTATTTTTCATAGAGGCCATTAAAACTGCACCAGCAAGGCTTAATTTGTGGATGAGGTTAAAGACTCCTTGGTGTTGCCCCAGTGGTGTAAAGTTAATTGAAAGCTTCTCTAAAGCAGGATGAAACTTCCCTCTCAGAGGGGAATCCTTTGTGATGAAAAGCAAATAAACTGTCTCTGTGCTATTCACTTTACCCTCTTCTACCCTGCAAGGGGCACTGGAGCCTGACAGCAGATATGGCTAGAGTCATTTCTGGCCACCAGAAACATTCCACGGGGGCCCATGCTCTAACTTGCATTGGGGCTGGCCCTAGGAGTCATCTTGCCTTCTCTTTCCTCAGTTATGCTGACTGCACACTCAGACCACCTAAGGACTGTGCTTGCAGTGTTTTATACCCATGTATTTGCATGCTTGATTACACATCCAGGCCCCCCTAATGATGAACCATTTTATACATTTATCTATACCTTGGTTGTGCTCTCAGTGCTGGAAAATAACTTTAGATTTATCCTCGTGTAATTGAGATGATAAATCTGGCCCTAGTTTTTAAGCAAAGGCCTTTGGGGGAAATAAATATTAATTCCTTAAAGCACAAGGAAAACCGGGAGACATTGGGCCTGGTGATGAATCAAGGATGGTGAGATGCTTGACATCTCGCTTAAAACAGGGTCTGTCAGTAGTAACTCCACTCAAGTCACCAGAAAACACATTGCTGTTAGTTCTGCAGGGGTAAATCAGTAATAATGCCAGAGGCGGATCCAGAGGGGGTACATTGGCATGAATGCACCCCTTTTTTGGGCAGGACCATGCTGATGAAGCCTCTGGGGACTTTAAATTTTTCCCAAAACAGAAGAGAACCCCCCATTCCCCTCCATGCTCGGCACATCCTCTCCTTTCTCCTCCATCCCTCATCTGCTGCAGTTGCTTTCCCTGCTGTTCCATGGGTGGGGTATCTTTATAGCTGCTCCTGCCCACTCCAGCTGGACTGCACAGGGGCTGTAATTTATACATTATATCAAAGTGCCTTTCGCCAGATGGAGGGACATTCTTTGGGACTGGTTCAATTCGATGTTGTTACTGCGCCATGATTTAGTACTTCCAGCACCGTGATTTAGTACTTCCTTTTGGAAGTATTAAATTATAGTGCAGTAACAGCCTGTACTACACCATACATGTGGTGCATGGTTATTTTTAGCACCTACTTTGCTGTAGCAGTATGTTATACTGGGGAAGTGCATTGCTACCACAACATAGTGTCACATGTAGACGTGCCCCATGAGCCTACAGTTCCATTACCTTGTATTACTGGAAAGGAAATTCTACCATGGGAATGTGGTAGCATTTTACAATGATATTGCATTTCTCTGTACTAATGTCACAGATTATGCCCAGTGCCAAGGAATGAATAGTGGGGACCCATGTCAAGAGATTAGACAAGCACCTGGTTGGGGTTACTTGACCCCAGCGCTATTTCCTGCCCAGAGCAGGGGGTCGAACTCAGTGATCTAATAGGTCTCTTCTGACCCTAGAAATCTATGTCTTTAATATAAACACTTATTCTTACTCCTCTACATATTCTGTTTTTGTCAATAGAATAGTGCTGAAGTCATACCAGTGTAAGTGGGAGGAAATTCAAACCCTAATATGAAACCACACTTTTCAAAAGCCACTGGTTAGTCTTACTGGACTGTAAGTTTCAGATTTAACATCAGATTTGATCACAGACAGAAGCATTATTACAAGCCCTTTCTTTCTTCCGTAATCCTCACATGTCAATATAACCTTGCTTTGCCTTGACATTGTATTGGTCCCTGGAAAGACTCTTACAAATTTTCTAAAACAATCCCAATTACAGCCGATAATTGTTACAACAGATCTTTCTGAATCAGGCAAATACATTGATAGCTTTTTGAAACAGAAATTCTTCCGAACTCAAGGTCAGACCAGTAAAAAGCTCTGGAGAACTAAAGTAAATTGGATATGGACAGATTCACTGCCAGAAGGACTATAATAAAAGGTACTTTGGGGAAATCTGGCTTTTTTTTCTTGCCATATAATACCATATTTTCTCACATACAACACGCCATGGAATATCATACACATCTAATTTTGAAAGGCAGAATGAAAAAAAAAATCATTCCTTGTAGTAAGTAACTGCGTAACAGCAGCTGGGAATTGAGCTCATTGTTCTGTTCATTGCAGATTTTCTGGTTTGTTTCACCCATAAAAGGAAGAACCCACTTGTACCATATTTCTCAAATATAATGCACACTTCACTTCCCAGCAGCTGGCTTTGGGAGAAAGATGTGTGTTACATGCAAGAAAATATGGTATATAGGTGTAGAGATGTGTGTGTGTGTGTGTGTGTGTGTGTGTGTGTGTGTGTGTGTGTGTATGTATTCAGGCAAGGTTCTTTGGGTAGATGTGATATATTTTATTAGATCAATTAAATAGTTGGAAAAAGGTTCTTTGCAAGCTTTCAGGCACAAACACCTTTTTCAGGCATTAGGATACTCTGGCAATATATTAATATTAAAATATTAATATTTATATACACGTATATACATACACACATATATATGTATATATATGCATGCTTCCATTCTTCCCTTAAGCTTCCCATTTTGTGGTTCTTACCTTGCCAACGTATAAAGGGTCAGTTCCTGTGTACTCTTCCAAAACAAAGAACTGGTTCCACACCCAGCTCCTCTTCATTCGCTGATGCAGTAGCAGCTTGTCAGATAGGTTTTCTTCTTGGCTTTTGGTAAGTGGCTTAGCACTCCCAGATAGCACAGTTGTAGTAAGGTCCATCAGTCCCCAAAAGTACAAGGACACACCAAGTCCAAGAAAGTTCTTTGCATTGCTCATTCTACCTGAAGTCCACATTTATTTATGAGGGATGTTGTTAAAATGAAAACACCACAGGTTGGCTCCTTCAGGAGGGGAAAAATGTCCAATATGTAGGCTTCTGAAGCTTGCAAGAGAAACTGTGGTTCTGAGGATAAGAGTTACCTGCAAAGTTAAGGAAAAACTTCTGTAACAAGCATATGTTTTATTTGTGCTAGAGAGAGAGCTTCTGTTCTGTTCTGCATAAGAAATGTGAAAACAGGGCATGCATGTTCTGAAGAAAGCAGTCTGTTACTTCATTAGCTGTAGCACTGTACGCTCAGATACAGGGACCGGTGGGGTATATTTAGGAAGTAAGAGTTCTTGACTTTGCTCACTTAGCTTCAAGATTCCACTATATTATTGATTTCCATGAGTTAACAGACAACTCTTCAGAAATATTTATGACCAGTAGCCTTTTGAAAATATTTTGCGGATAATACATTTTAGAAATTTATAAACACAATTAATGTTTCTATGGCAACTGATTTTCTTCTTGTTTAGAAACCATCTTGCCACCTCACCTGGGTATGTGCATACATATACAAGGGTATTATTGACACATTACAGACCCCGGATTTCATTTCTAGAAGCTGCAAAATATTTCTGACTTCAAGAATTCTCTCAACCCTTTATTCCTTGAATTCAGGTTTCACACTCCATTGCTTCCTCTCTGAGGAGCTGATCACTGCTGCTAATGTGACATTTCTAGAATTTGAATGGTCAGTTAATCATTGTTGAATCCACAAAAGGTTTCAGAAAGCTGATGGTCACATGCTATTGTGGTCTATGTCTCAGCAAGTCAAGCTAACAAATTTTTCCTTCTTAAGCCTGAAAAACGTGTTTAGGCAGAGGAATGCCGACCTCCATCAGAGGACACTTTCTCATCAGTCTAGGTTTTTTTTCTTGTCATGAAGTCAGATTAGCTGGTGACCTCACTCCAGGCCATGGATTGTAGCAATCTTTTCTTTCCCTGTTTTTCTGGGCTTAATGAGGTGGCACTGCACTCTAGTTACTCTGTCAAAACACTCAGCACATCCTCTCTGGGCTTAATACTTTGCTGTTCTTTTTTTGAGAATTCTGTCTTGGCTCCCTTTCAAGACAAATGGACTTGTTAGCAAGTGTTTATTGGGCTTGGAAGCTTAAGCAGCTACCACATGCTTAACTTTACTACTATTATTATATCAAGGTCTTGAGGCTTAATTAATTGTTTTTATCCTAGCGAAATAAAAACTAGCAGGAGATGCCTGTCAAATCATCATAACTGAAACCTTTCAGAGAATTAAAAATATCATTCATAGCTGCATGGGTTTTTTAAAAGTGCCAACTGATAAAATGTAGTATTTTTTTCCAATATAAAAAATCTGGAGGAATGGAGTCTTTGAATATACATCCTTTAAGGTTGCATAGCTAAGGCTTTTCTGGACTTGGAAATTGACCGATATAGTGAGTCCAAACTGAATTCTTGGAAATTGACCGATATAGTGAGTCCAAACTGAATTCCAAGGTTTATTAAGCTGAATTCACTCTGAAATAAGTGTGTCTCCACTCTTTATAATTATTAGTGGAATAGTGCAATGTTATAGCCAGAATGATCTATAGAAGAGATAAGTCATTGTAAATTGTTAATAGAAGGGTGCTGGCATCCAAAAGCTCCTGAGCTCCATTCCCTCCTGAGAAGTTAATGGAAGTGGCACCTGTGTAACTCAGACCAGAATGGAGCCCCATCTATGTAGCGAAAGGGTCAAAACTAGTCATAATATACTTGGTACTTTATAATGAATCTGGAAGCATCATGTGAGAAGCAGTCCAAGTACAGGCTGATGTCGGGATGTTGTTATGAAAATTCAGTATTTGATTTTCAGTTTTGTTTACCTTTAATAACACACTGTGGCTAATGACAACCTCAGATCACAGCATGCAATGCTCAGTTATGGTCTGGCTGGCAGGACACTATAGTTTCCTTCATGCTAGATATACCTGGTTGACTGCTAGCAAGTAACCAGTGGGACTTTAATTAGGCCAAATTAGGGAAATATTATTCATAATCCAGGTTTTGTGATTGATCAGGACCCCTGAAATAGAGCACGTCCTTTGGAATAGTGGTGTTCAACCTTCCAGCCCCATGGGCTGGATGAGGGATTCAGGGTCAGTTCACAGGTCTGATTCCACAGGTGGGTTTCATCCATGGGCCAGATCTAGAATAGGTTCAGCATGCAGGGCTGGTCTCTTGAATTACTTCATTTGCCAGCCCAACCCTGTGCACTAGCCTGATCTTATACACCGACCCAACCCTGCATGCTGAATCACTCATCCAGTGTGGGGGCCCATATCATTTTGTCTGTGAAGCTCTCCCCCCAGCCTGGATGACATTGCCTTCTGGGCCAGATATGGCCCTCTGGCTAGAGGTTGAGCACCACTGCTTTGCATGCTCTTGAGATTGAAGGGGAATGATTCTCTACAACAGGCACCTGCCTTTTTCCCAGTCTTACTTTGTGTGTGTTCCACATTGCTCATCCAGGGCTGTAAGAACCTCCCCCCACACCGAAATGAGCAAGATATGCAGAAGTATGCAACCATAGAATTTGCACCTGCAATTTTACTGCACACATTCCCATTTGCTGCACATGAGCACAAGGCAGTGATGTTTATAGCCACAAAGAAAATAAATGATATACCATTGTCCTGGCAGAATGAGCCACCTCCCATTGCAATAAGAATGTTGTGTAGGTGAATTCAAAACCCATGAATTCTTTTCTAACCCTGCCAGTTTCTTTCTGGCTCTAACTTCACCTGGCAGGGGTTGATTACAGTCAGCCAAGGTAGTACCAAGGCCCAGTCAGATAATCTCATATGGCTAAACAGTACTAGCAATGAGGGATTTAATAAAGGGACTCTATCTGAACAATGATTCCCCTGCTTCTGCCTCTGTGTCACTGTACCAGTAGAAAGCAATACCCCAAAGGGCAATGAAACTGGAAGCAGTGCAACAGAGGTCAGGAATAGTGAATCGCATGCTGCCAAACCCTCTGGGCTTATGGGGTGCTGTTGGTTTGAATGGCACTGTGTTTTGCCCCCAAGTTTCCATTACTAAGCCCTCTTGAAAACATGCATTTTCTATGACCCCAAGGGCAATAGCGCAGAGAACATGTACTTTACTCAGTGAATTCCTCTTTCAGAACCATAACAGACAGTACTGTCATCCGAAATCTCCTCCATCTCTTCAGGATGCATGGAAGCTAATGCTAAGAGTAACTGCAACACATTGCTAAATATCCCATGTGCAGTGGGCAGCATAAACTACTGTTGGGGGACAGAAGATAACTTCATTGTTAAGTAGGGTTGCCAACTCTGTTTGAATTTATTCCAAGAGGTTTCCGGAGCGCCAACGTGCTTGCGACACACAACGTGAATGTGCCTGTGTGCTTGCATATGTAAGTTACAGATTATGGTACATAGACTTTACATCAGGAAGGCAAATGCACGTTACTATTACATTTTAAAAACCTACTGGACTACTGTATAAATCGGATTCAACATTTAATATTCATTTTAATGAATGCCCTCTCATTTATGTCCCAGGTGACTCTCAGCAGTCTCCTGTAGATACATATCTAATTCCTGGAGACTCCAGGGAAATCCTGGAGGGTTGGCAACCCTAGTGTTAAGGCTAACTGAGCTTGGCCATTCTTACAAAGAGCAGGTGCCAGAGTCTATTCCACCTAGTCATCACATGATAAATGGAGCATGCCCAGGTACGATTCTATGCCAACCTGCTCAGATCTTGAAAAGCAGTTAATGCAAAAGGGAGATGGGTTCTCTCCCTCTTTGAGGCTTTTCTGTGACTCAGTCTTAAGGATAAGATGACTGTATGTGTTCAAAAGTAAATGCATTCGTGGACTTTCAGGGATTTGAACAGGGTGGAATAGAAGGGCACTGAGACACATACGTCTACTTAGACACCTAACAGGTGGAAAGGAATCAGGTCCTGTGATGTTGCCTTGGCCCACAGCTTTCCAAAACTTTCAAGATTTGGGCTGAAATTTTCAAAATGTAGACTTGTCCAAAGGTCAGGTCTCTTTAATATTATTATCTGAATAAAAACAACGTTGCTACTTATGAGCCTAAGAAGACCAACAGAACGCACTGGGACAGATCCTCGTAGGAGGCAAAATGGCACAGCTTCATTGACTTCTGCTCTATTGCTAGCTGCTGCTCCTGGTGTACCTGGTGCTGCACTGGCTATCTCATTCTGCTGGTGCAGATACTTCTGATCTATGGAGCTGCAGGTAGCATGATTGGCAGTGGCATAACTAGTAGGGGAATAAGAGGTAACTGTCCCAGGTGCCTACTTGGGGCGGGGTGCACAAAATAAAGCAGCTGATACCAACAGCCATTCATTTGTAGAAGCAACTGCAAGTTGCTGCTTCTGCTTTCCCGCAGAGTGCCTGGCTACCTCCCTACACTGCCAATTATTAGAATCAACAGGATAGTACACAACAGCACAGAGCCCAACAGAAGCACACTCAAGGTGCTTTTAAATGTGTTCAACACTACCATTTTAGGAATAGATTCTGCCTGCCTGCCCCAAGCTGGAAAAATCAATGAAACACCTCACACAGTAAGGCTCTACTCAACCTCCACCTGAATAGTAACATCAGGCCCTCACTTATGTTCTCATGAAATCCTGTACAGGTTTTTAAGAGACTTAAACATCAGAAAGGAGGGAAGTAATGGCTACTCTGCTTGCTGCATGGAGCATGGACAAGAAAGCAGCCTATCGGAGCTCAGCAAAGGCAAGCTCCAAAGATTTAAGTTCCACAGGGAGTGAAATCCTGCTTCCTTTGTGCATGCGAGTAGCCCCTTTAAAGCCAATGAGACTGCTGGCATGAGAGTATGGTATGTTCCAAGCAGATAATAAAGGGCACAGTTTAAAAGTATTGATGCTACTTCTGTGGCCCACATCACAGCACCACTGAGAAACATGTCCTCTCTGCATGTTCCTGCTCAGTGTGCACCAAGGTCCAGAAATAAGACCAGGCAGCTAGATTAGAGTGGCCTTGAGTGTATGCCTAGATGCCTGCTCATGCCCAAGAGTCTGAAAGCAGCTCTGGGCATGTGTTTGC